AGAGATGAAGAGGAAGGCCAAGAAAAGTCTCTGCAGAAAACAAAGGAGCGGCAGAGTCACGAGGAGAAGCTGAGGCTGGCAGCTGCTGCTGGAAGGGAAGGTTGTGGTGGTGTATAGGCACCAGGTCACCTATATATATCACCACAACCACTTCAGGGTGCCCCAGGGTCTGGGGGTTGTGGGGAGCTCTCTACTCAAACACATGTTGGCTGCATGTTGGAGGAGCCCACGGTGGTGCAGCCCACCACCTGATTCAAAGCAACATCTCCTTTCAGCACTGCATTTGGAGCAGTTTCCATCTTCACATTCTCCACGAGGCATCCTGTTCGGTTTGCAGGGTGGTTTTGCCGCACGCAGTCAGGGGATTTGCTTCCAAATCGAAACGCAACGAAGTCCCAGCTTGTAGCACCATGGCTAAACGTTACTTCAAAGCTTTGCTTAGAAGCTGAGACCGAATTAAATGGAGCTGACACTAGTGAAGTGCAATGCTTCTGTTAGGAACTTGGGGCAGATTTGGGTGCACACACAATCAATGCCTCCCTTTTCATTTCATTGCTCATTATGGAGTCATTATAGGCCAATTACGCCTTGGCCAAAAGGAGAACCGAAAACACACCTTCTTGTTAAAGCAGTTAATAAAAAGACTGACCACATTCTTAAAAGAGAAGTTCAACAGTATGCTTTCTAAAATCTGTATCAATTTAGCATATCTCCAAGGTGATTAAACACACAAGACTCAGGAAATATTAAGGGCACATACACACTTCAGTATCTGACAGCATCTGGACTGAGATGCTCAAAACCAGAATCTTGTTCTTTCCACTCTGCCAGAAGTTCTCTCTTCTCTGATGTAACATCCAATTGGCATAAGGCAATTTAAGCTCACACAGACACACGGCGCAGTGTGTGTCTGAGATATTTCCTAAGCATTATGCTTAGGAAAAAGCATTTTCAAAGCAGGTTTAACAGCGACAGCTGCAGAGGCCTACCACAAATGTTCACTCCTCTCTCCCCCCTCAGAGAGAGCAGCTCATCACAACCCACCCCACCGCAGCGGGAGTTTTCTTCCAGCTCACACAAACTCTCTCCAAGCAATAAGGACAGGAAGCATCAACTGAAGTGCTGCCAGATTTTGTTCTGTACAACTGTGTATTTTTTCTGTGAATTCTGAAACTGAATTAACTTAAATCTCACATTTTTAACCCAACAGCACTCCCAGTGATACCTGTCGGCATTACAATCCACTGCTCTGTTACCTGTTTGTACCAGAAAGGAAATACAGTGCATACAACTAGGCACTACAATACTTGCATCTCTACAGATTTGACTTAATACTTTAAATCTAAAACGGGTTATTTTGAAAAAGTCCAGCCAGTGATATCTTCAAGATCACGCAACCAGGAAACAGTAAATGTAGAAAAAGAAGATTTCCATCTCTTGACTCTCACAAGCATAAGCTGCTATTGAGAGACTAATTTCAGGCTTTAATACTACTAAATATTCTAAATCTAGAATTAATAACAAACATATGCTCAAATAGAAATGATGCTCTTTTTTTATATCTGATTTTTTTGAAAGCTTTATCTAAATTAGTTCTGGTAGAGTAGAAAAATACTTGAATAAATATGAGACAGCAAAAAGTCATCACACTGCAAACAAAGATCTAAATGAGAACAGAAAAATACATACTGGCTGCCCACAGCCACCTTCCCTTCCTTCTCCACAAGGAAGGGAAAACAGTGCAATTTCATAGCCTCTGCCAAAATGGAATAATGTATTTGAGCTCCAACAGATAGAAACCCCTCACAACATCAAGCATTTTTCACATAAGGTAACAATAAACCTTTATTTAAAAATTTAAACACACACATGCACACACACAGAGAAAATCAAAGACCAAAACTAAAAAAAAAAAAAAAAAAAAAAAAAAAAGCAAGTAAGGAAAGAATTAGAAATCTGGTAAACAAAATACACCCACCAGCAGGGCACTGACTGCCAAATATCTCTGTCATGACTACAAGTAACTAAAGGGAAGAGATACAGAAGAAGAAAAAGGAAAATTAAAGAAAAAAAAAATCACATGCACAAATATAAACATAGATATATACAAGATTTCATCCAAGGTGGGCAGCCAGGAGGAAGGGGTCATTTAAAGTCGCCTCTCTATTCCCATCCACCCAGGGCCACACAGTACTTACACCTGCACCAGGAGCATGCATGGTCAGGAGGAAGCTGAAAGTTCACGCAAAGCTGAACCTCAGACTACAGCCCTGTCCCAAGACAGGACTTTCTCTTTTTCTGCACAAAGAGGCAACAGAATCACCTACAACTAGGAACTATTTTTATTTTTCAAAATAACTTTTGCTGAAAATTTCTACGGGGCAAAACAGCTTCTGAAGAGCTACAACTAACTGTCCAGTCTTTTGTGAAACACTAGGGAAGGGTTATAATTCAGGCTTGATTCTGGGTTTTGTAGTAAAGTTTGATGAGCACACCCCACTAAAGGAAAGTAACAACTCTGGAAATGCATATACAGCACCGGGTAATCCAGGCAGCCACAGAAACGAAAAAGTCTGGCTTAGTCTATTTCTGTAACTCAGGTTTCCAGAAGTAAAAGCATTGTACACTTAGCCATTGTAGATTACATCCATTTTTCACAACGCTATATTTTATTAGAGTCCGGAAAGTATTTATAAAGGAAGATCACAAACAAGATGTTATCTCAGTTCATCGTGTTACCCTGGGAAACTATGAGGAGATTCACGTAATGTCTACCTGTAGCATCAAAAAGAATTTGACTTAATGCTATTTAATATCACTTTTTCCTACAGAATTCATTCATACAAGACATTCTAGTAAGATCTCAGAGCTTCTCAACAACAAAGGATCAAAACCACTTTTTGGGACTAAGGGGATTTATGTAAGAGAACAGATAAAAACAAAGTCAAGTCTTTTTGCAGCTGCCTTCCAGGTCAGTGCTTCTGGATTACAGTAGAAAAATGGGACACACCATCAGCACAAGCTTTACCTGCACAATGGCACACAGTGGGGCTTGCTCACTGCCCTGAGCGGCTACCAGCAGCAGCCGCCTGAGCGGCGGAGGGCCCCAGGCCAGCCCTAGCCCTTGTAAACACCTGCGTGACGGTTCAGTTTAGAGATCTGTGCTCTGCAGAGCGGCCTGAGAATAAACACAGTATTTTGTCAGGAAACATGCATCTATAAATACTCTGTTTTATCGGTGGAGTCTTCCACTAAATGATGGTAAAGCAAGAAACAACTTCTCATCCCTGGACAACCTCAGGAGCGCTGTCAATGATCTTCACTGGAGCAGGAGGCCAGTTCTTACAGTGTAACGCCATCCTTCACCTACAAAACACTTCTTTTTTTTTCCCCATTCTACTTCCTTGCCTTAAATAACAGCCAGAACATCAGAGGCCAAAAGCAACTAGGTAAACAAACAAACAAGCAAAAGTATTTCTCGCCAAGAAAAGGCACCTTCAGACACCTCACAAGCTCACCGGGGAGCAGATCACCCACCCCGGGAGAAATGGGATGTTCCAGAGGGACCCAGCCCGCAGCAGCAGGTCCCTGCTCCCTCTGGTGGGGCCGGCAAAGACCACAGCGCGCCACTCCTTGCCAAGTCACACCTCACACAGATTTTTAAACAAACAAGTCTATGTCATTGATCGCTAAATTCGAGTTTAAATGCTGTTATTAACCACCGCACTTCCGTTAAGGTCTTGACAAACACCTCTAATTATCTCTGAGGTAACAAAGCTCTGCAACAGAGGATTCCGTGGCTGCATTTTGTTCCACCTGGAAAATTTAACCGCAAAAAAACCAGAAAGAATTGGCTGCTTGCCCAGGATTCCCAGGCCTCCCCCATGACTAAGCTCCCCGTGCCATGAAATCCCAGATAAGTCAACCGCTCACAAACCACCCCTCGGT